CCCTGAAGAGGTGTCATCATGGTTTAGTGGGGATCAGTGATTGAGAGTGATTTTTGTCTGGGGTTCTTTTGAGTCTTTAACCTTAATGAACTGAGGTTCCGAGCCAACAGATTGGAATATCATGGAAGTCTATGTCATACATTAAAGTAATGTGGCATAGAGGCCTTGGTAATACATTAAAAGTAAAGTCAAGCCATGCCTATTCATGCATTAAAAAGTAAAGTTTACTTTATACTAGATAACAATGAAGTGAAGTAAAGTAAAATAAATCAAGGAAGCCTATGTAATGCAGGAAAATAAATTGAAATCAAAACAAAAATGTGTTGAGTAATTATAGTGACTGTAATTAATCTCACCTTAATTCAGCTTCTGTTTAAATTACAGTTTCTTCCCTTTTCATAATCCAATTCCCACCCATTTTGGGCAGGGCAGCTTCTATAGCTCACCCAAATGTTAATTGCAACCCTCGTGTTGAGAAAAGTTACCCATCCCTAGTGGAGTGTAAGGCCACTTCTCCTGAAGGTGTGCCCTCCAGGTGAGTGCACCGTTGACTTCTATAAATCACAGGCAATGCAGCCTTCTTGAGTGACAAAAGCTATCTTCTGGGCGCCGGGGAAGGCTGATACAAGACTAGCTTCTCTATGACAAGCTATTACCGTATTTCTCTCTTTCAGGTAAGGAAAGAACCCTCTGGCTAGCTGGAACCAACCCGTCTTCCCTCTTTGGTGGCTGTATCCTCCAGCCAGTGTTACCAAGCAACAATCTGTTGACTTTGTAGAATCAAGAACTCGCGTCCGTGCACCTCGTTTCTCCAAATTCCAGCTGTCTTTGTCCTGAAGATGAGGACAGAGCAAGGCGATGCTTTGCCTGCAAGTCCAGAGTTGAGGGACGCGCTGAACCAGGAAGAGAAAATGGGTGAACCAGATGTGGTAGGCCCTCAAATGGCACCCCAGGTCTCCCTTGGCTTTCAGGCAGGGAATAACAGGAAATACCAGGAAAGAAAGGGAGCAGCCATCTTGGACGAGGAGAATGCAATCCGCTTGGACACACCCCAGGATCAGAGGCGAAGCCAGGAGTGTCAGAGGCAGAGGCTGTTAGGTTTCTTCCTGGAGAAAGTAGAAGAAGATCAGGTGAGCCTGGGATCGCCTGGCATTTTCAAGGAGGGACCTGCTATTTCCGAGGTTGAGGGGAGACGGAGCTGGTGATGACCAAGAAGATTATCCAATGTGGGAAATCTCCAAGCAAAGACCAGGCTTCTGTAGCTCTAGATTGGCATTTCTGGCAGAGGCTAGGTCAGATGGGCCACAGGGAACCCCAGAGTTTATGGTTTTCCAATCTGATGCCTTTTTACCTACAGCTTGAACAAAAAATCAGGAGGAGTCCGGTAGCACCTTTTCCGACGAACAGATTTGATTAAAAGGCAGAAGCTTTTGTGAACTTATGCACTCGGTGGAGTAAGCTGAAGCTCATGAAAGCTTGTGCCCTGTAGTAAAATTGATAGCTGGAAAAGGTGCTGCCTGACTCCTCCTGATGTTTTGCTGCTCCAGACCAGTGTTAAGATGTGTGGACTTCAGCTCCCATAATTCTCCAGGCAGGGCCAATCACCAGGGATTTCAGCACCTTCAGTTTTCTAAGTGGATGCTCTTCCATTGACTCCTCTCCCATTATTACTACTACTACTACTGCTACTTCTGTACTACTACTACTACTACTACTACTTAACAGCACCTTCTTTCACTAGTAGAGAATATGTGTAGCTCAGGGTCAAAATGTTGGGAACTTGGTGTTGCCTGAGCTTAGTTTTCCTCTTGCAATCATTTCATTACCAAACCAGGTAGCGTCAGTGCTTGGACCTGGGGAGTGGGGCTTGCTGGCTTTGGATGGGTGGCTGCTCATTCTGCCTGCCTTGACTAGGGTTGCTGTGGGTTGGGTGCGTTTCTGGTTGGCCTACCTGGCTAGGTTGGCTGCCTTGCTTCATCTGAGACTGTTCCTGTCTATTGGTTGGTTCTCCCATATCTAGAAGTTGATTGCTAGGTGTCTATTAAGGGAGGAGGTACCCACGCTGTTGGTTTCCTTCTTCCCTTGCTGAGGAGGTCCCCCATTCCTAGTGCAGCACCTCCAGCCCTAGACCACACTGTCACTTGGGCTAGAGGGAGGGGCTGGCCCAGAGTCTCCCAGGGAGCGTCTGTGGCTGAGGGGGGACTGGAACCTGGGCCTCCCCACTCTTAATCCAGCACCTTCCCCACTGTCCCACCCTGCCTCTGGAGCTGGCAGGAAGGGACTGGCCCAAAGCCTCCCCCCCAGAGCTCCCATCATGCCCCTGTGCATGTGCGCACACACACGTGCTTTCTCAACATTTATTATTCCAGGGGGGAGGAAGATTATTTCAACAATTTTCTCCAATCTTATGGCTTGAGTTGTGCTGGCCTACTCCTCCCATCATCCACAGCAAGCCTACACCTTGAGGAGTTGTAATGCATCCTGTCTGGGAAAAGCTGCCCTGGGCTAACAGGAAGGTTGTGCTCCATGCTCTCTGGATCACGTGGGTCTAAGGAATGTTTTTCCCCCTTAATCTCAGGGACCGGTGACCTTTGAGGAAGTTGCCGTGCGTTTCACCAAGGGGGAATGGGGGATGCTGGATCCAGAGCAGAGGGCGCTCTATCGGGAGGTCATGGTGGAGAACTACGGGACTGTGGCCTCTCTGGGTAAGAGCACGTTGGTTCCTCGGCAGGGGAAGTTCTCCTTGCCCTTGAAAAGGGCAAGGTTACTCATGCAAAGCAGAACAGAAGAATAAAAAGGCTACAGGGTGGCATCCAGGCCGTCCGTTGTAGGTTGGGGACAGAGCCACCGAGCCACTGCTGCGCATGCCAAAAATTCCCAGCCCAGCATTTCAAATACAGCTGGGAAAGGCCCGTCAGCTTCCTGTCTAAAGGGATGTCAAAAACCCTACCATTCTGGGAACAAGGTGTTCTGGAGGGCTCGCTAACCAATCAAGCTGTTCTTATGGTGGCTCTTCTAGAAATTAATCTGGCTGGATTTGTGTAGGTTAGAGGAGAACCCAAATGTTCAGTGGTTGGACTCCAGACAAGGCAGATTCCTGTCTCCTAGGGAGGGGGAAAACCAGCATTTGGGACAAAATGTTCTGGAGAGCTGCAGAATATTTGGTTTCTTCTCCAGGCAACTGATCTGGCTGTTCCACTAGTGGTCTAATGATTCTTCTGGAAGTGAACTTGGCTAGATCTCTGTTTGAGGGGAGAACATTCCAGCAGTCTGACTCCAGATAAGGCAGGTTCCTCTCTTCTACAGATGTGTGAAAGCTACCATTCCAGGAAACCAAATTTTCTAGAGAGATCTAGACTGTTTCTCCAGTCTCCTTCAATCTTGCTGTTCCTATGACAGTAGAGTGATTTTTCTGGAAGTCAGTCTGGCTGGATCTGCAGTTCAAAGGAGAAATGGAACATTCAAGGGGCATCTGGAACATTCCATTCCTGGAATGGTAGTTCTTTGCAATTGCCAATTGCATTCTTCTGCTTACAGAACAGGGGAAGGGATAATTTGCCTTTGCCTCCAGCAACCTATACATTTAATCAGAAAACCCAATATGTAATGTGTTTCCTTTCCTAGAAGGGCCTCCAGTTCCCAAACCTGATCTCATCTCCTGGTTGGAAGACAAAGAAGAGATATACAGCCCAAGCTCTGAAGAAGGAGATGGGAAAAGAGGTAGCAACTGATTGCTTGTGTTGGGTGTGGCTTCAGAATTGCCAAATTCAGTCTATCAACTGATTGATTTTCATGGTTATCTTTTTTTTTCCATCTAGGATAGAGGGACAGCTGAAGACAGTAATTTTGGCGGGTGTGTGTGTGTGAAATTGAACCGCAGCAAACAGGCATAGTAGGGTAACCGGAGTGTGCCAAACCTTTGATTCTGGGGATGGTATGCTCTTGGAATTTCCAGAGAAAGTTCACTTTGTCCTCCAAACCATGTCAGCTTGATTATTCCAGGGCTGGTCTAGCAATTTTCTGGAAATAAAGTTTGACTTTCAGAAAATTGCCAAGCCACCCACAGAACAGCTGGAGTGACATAATCCAGAAGATGGAGGGAATGTTCCAAAAGTCACTCTGACTCTGGAACGCTAAATTTTTCATCTACCTAGTATCCATGTTTAAAAGGAAAGAAGTACATTCATGAAATTGCGGGTGGTTTTTGCAGCTCGTGGAAGTTTATGCTTTTTAATAAAATAAGTTAGTTGGAAAACATGCTACCAGACTCCTCCTGATGTTTTGCCACCATAAACCTAACACAGCTCTCCTCCTACAATGTCCCCAAATCCAAGTGATTCTTATTTCTTGAGCTTCACAGCCCCACAGAGCTTGACAAAAATTGAGAGCTCCCTGCTGGAGAAATGAAAGAAATGGAATTATAGCAAATGCAAGTTAAGGTCCACACAATATTTCTATCACAAAAAAGATTTTCAAGATTTTTCATTTTCATCTCATAATTTTATTTAACTCTCAGTAATTTAACTCGATAACCTGGAATATTTTTATGGAAGATAGGAGAAGGGAGTACGTTGTTGTGGTGAAGTGCCTAACAGTACTTGGGAACCTACCGCAGGCAGCTACACAGTTAAGGGAGGTAATGGGGCCATAACAGAAGTGATTCTGGAGTCCAGGGGAGAGGCATGTACAAGAAAGAGAATCAAAGTAACTCTGCCTTAATTACGCTAGGTATAAGTTGATCTGGAGAATTACTTTGGTAGGCTTTCAAGATTCTGTTAAATAAATATCTAGCAAGAAAGGGTACCGTATTTTTCCGACAATAAGACGCCCCCATGTACAAGACGACCCCCACTTTTCCAGCCCAAAATT